GTCCCGGCACACGTTTTGCACACAGAGAGACCTGTGCTGTTTGTGCAGCTTGGAGGATTACTTGTTTTGATTAAATTTTAGTTGTTAGTTGTGATTTTCTTTCATTTTCACGCCACATTAAGGACACCTGAAGTGGTGATGCAAGCACTAAGATATCAAACTAATTCCAGCACACAGCTGATCTGCCTGCCAGTCCAGGGATGATTCAGTTTTGCTCGTTTGAGTTGGGTTAATGACCTCTAGGTGAGAGATGAGGTGACGTTTATGTAATGTGTATGTAGACACAGTCATCTGGGGTAGCATTGTGCAAAATGGTACGACACCAGAAGAAAGACAAGTGTTGGCACCAGAAAGAACCTGTAACAAATTAGTTCACGTAAGGGTTCATAGAATCAGGTTTCAGCTAATTCAGATGTACTAAATGAGGAACCACTGTTAGTTAAACCAGTTAAAACAGTAAAATTGTCTTTCAGTGATGCCAATCCTGGAATTAAGTGCTAGACCTGAGACGTGATGAATGCCACAGCATGTGCTGTAAAATGAGTTAAAACAGCTCTTGTCTCCACAAGTGGTTTATTATTTGATTTGCCAAGGTTCTGCTTTGGATTTCCTCTCTAATTAAACTTGAATGAGCTCATTTACTGTACAAAGGGAGCATGGAGACAAGGACCAAGCAAAATTGCTTCCTTGCATGTCTTTGTGCCTATTAGTCAGTCTCATTTTTCCCCTTGCCTCCCTCTCCCTAATGCAACGTCTCTGCTCACTTTCTATTATTGTCCCAGAGGGCAATTGATTAACAGAGTAAACACTAAAATACAGAATAAAAGTCCAGGCTGAAAGGGATGAAAGAATATTTATTTTGGACTGTCTTCAGCTTGGACAGTTGTATCAGAAGTGCAGCCAACTGAAAGAGGAAAAAGTGTGCATATAATTTGAGCTTTTATGTTAGGTAACATATTCATAAACTGTTTCATTAATTCACACTTTTTACGTAATATTAGAGTAACAGTTTTGTATGTAGGAGATCACAGTTTATCTTGAAATCCAGATCCGTGTAGCAGCAGCATAACAAAACAATCATGTTGGAAGAATCAGTGAAATTCCAGATTATGTTTACTTGCAACATTTCTGTAAATTAAATACCATTGTCACCGATGTTCCCTCTAAGCTGCAATTGCGCATTGCTGGCACGGTCTCTGCGCACAGAAAATCTACATTAACAATTCTGTTTTGCAGTTTTAGTCAGTGACTGGCTGCTCCCGTATGGGATTAGAACAAATAGTCCAGCCAATAATGCGATTCACATTCGTATATACGCAGCTAATCAACGTCGCTGACAGGTTATGACAGCGTCCTTATGTGCCTACACCGGAGTTTTAGCGAGCAAAGCGGCGTGG